ACACACACACACACACACACACACACACACACACACACACTCTCTCTCTCTCGCCAGTCCTGGTAGCTCTAGGTGCTCCTCTGCCCCCACCCAACCCTCTACATATTCAAACACACACACACACACACCCTGCAGGACGTACACCACACACAGAGCATGCCTTCACGTGGGCCATCTGTGGACTCACATCACACACCCCAGCCAGTCTCCCCATGTCCTCTCCCGAACACAACCGACTCACACTCGCCCAGCCTGCGAGTGCATAGGCATCACACACCCACACCCAGCACACCATCCCTACAGACTTCACTCTCACACTCAACACACCACCCACGCACCTTCACCTCTCACACACCACATCTGCGGCATCCTCTCACACTCAGCGCCCATGCATGTACATTACCCCTCCACACACACACCACACACTCTCTCACGCAGCGCTCTCACATGCAGCATGGTGCACACACATGCATCTACATTATATCCACCCACACCTCACACACTCACCTGCAAGCACACACAGATTCACATCACATGCTGCTCCACCCACACAGCACTGCGACAGTCCACTGCACACTCCTGCACCTCACATCCTCCCACACACACTCAGCACACCACACCATGCACAGGCAGGCACACGCTCCTGTATACCTCCAGGGCGTTATCTGTGCCCCTCTCTCCAGCCCCCTCACCTCTACACCTCTCTGTTTCAGCACCAAGCCCGGTCGTCGAAACCCCGAGTCCCTCAGCTTGATAAAGGGTCTCTGTGGGTCCTCTTGCACGCAGTACATGAGTCCTGGGTGTCAGGGGACTCCCAGTGATGGGGTGGGAAATCACCACTGGTGGACTGAACCACACCTTCCGGGCAACAAAGCAGGTGCCTGTCCCCAGCTGCCCTCACCGGCGGCTCCTATTGGTGCCTCTGACCCCAGCCTGTCCCCAGTGCAGCCCCTATAATTTGGTCTAACTGCTGGGTTTCTTTCTGGGCACCCTTGTGTTTGAAGGCCTCTGTGAACATTCAGAAATGAAAGCCAAGTAACTTGAAAGTCCATGAAATAGCTGAGGACGTGAACACACTTTGCCTGTTCCTGCTGTGTAGGACAGAAGTGGGTTCGGGGAACCTAGTCCCTCCTCAGCCACCCATGCCTCAGGTGGCTCCCCCTCCCCCTCACAGCGGAGGGCCTCTCCTCCTCCCTCGCAGCAAATGAAGTCTCCTACCTGTACGTCAACACAGCCCACCTGCACTCCGGGCCCAGCTTCGTGGAGTCTCTCTTTGAAGAGTTTGGTATGTCACCCTCTCCCAATCTCAGATACGAAGCCAGCCCCTCGCCCTGTGTGCTCATGCCCACTGCCCCTGCCTGGGAGGGAACCCTGGGTTGGGCTGGGAGGTGCCCACACTCTGGGGTGACTGTGTTGCTTAAGTGACTGGGGACAAGTCCATTCCTGCCTGGGCTCTGCCACTGAGGGTCTAGGCAAAATCTCCATCCACGTGGTCATCGGAGATTGTCCCAGCGGTTTGGAGAGAAGCTGGGATGAGAGTCCAGGCCAAAGAAGGCATGGCGTAGAAGTGTGTTACTTGCCATCAGCCGCTTCCACCCGTGGGTGGTGACTGCCTGGAGCACGGGGCTCCAGGCCCCTGACTGCTGTCTAGAAACAGTCTACTGAAATGCATGTGGCCCAAGCCATTCACACAGAAGGCCCAGGCTCAGGGCCACCCAGAGGCACCGTGGAAGAAAGGCCCGGCGATCTACTTCTAACAAATCCGCCATTGCAGGAACACCCTGTGGAGCACAGTTCGACTCTGACACTCATGGGGCCAGCACACTCCAGAGGAGACTGCGTGGCTTTCCCCCGGGAATACAGCGTGGTTCCACCCAGGGAGAAGCTTTGGGTCTGCGTGAGGGGGCTGGTGGGATGGAGAGACTAGGACAGCATGTGCTTCTGCAGCACACCCCTCAAACATGTCCACAGCACCTTCGAAAATATGACCGGATGGACCTTCTCAATACCCTGGGGGTGGGCCGGGCAGGGATCGTGGCCCCGTTTACAGATGAGGAAACACACCCACTGAGAGCAGCGCAGGGGGCAGGTGGTGGGCTCAGCCTCGAGTCTCCCTCCGTGCCTGCCTCCGCCTTACGGGGCGTGACCCTCTGCAGACTGCGACCTGCGTGACCTTCGGGACGAGCCGGAGGACTGCAGCGAGCCCAGCAAAGGAGCCAGCCCAGAGCCAGCCCAGAGCCCCACTCCCAGGAAGGTGAGTCTGAGGTCCCTCGCGCCCCCGTGCTGCTGGGACAGGGGTACCGCGAGTGAGCGCCTGTTCTTCACGTGGGCTCGCAGCTCAGAACTGGATCCCGAGGCAGGGTCTCGGGGGTGCTGATTCTTCTTTCTGGGGCTCCCTAGGGAGTCCCTGGGGTCTGTGGCTCATAGAGGAATTGCACATGGAATCCGTCTTCGTCGGTGTGGGCTTGTTTCTGCGGCAGACGGCCCCCAGGATCAATCAGCCGGGAGTCATCTTAGGACACGCCCTACGTGGCACGGGCTCATTAACATGACGAAGAAAGCCTCATTTCCCCGACACGATTATATGTGCAGCATTTCAACCCACATCTTGAGAGGAGTCTACTCCACCCATAACACTGAGGGAAAAGCAACTTTCCCCTTAGCCCTGGGCCACTCGGAACCCCGCCCTCTCTCACGGGACACACAGAGCAGCATCCTGTGAGAATTTCCGTGGCCCACGAAATACTCGCTGTGGCTGTGGTGTTGAGCAGGGATTATGCAGGACACATATCTGCCCCCCCAAAAGCAAGGGACACCTGATTGTAGTCCTATAGATGGGGTGATGACAAAAGCTGGGTTAAGTGACTGATACTCTCCCCAGTCTTTCTGTGTGGTCTTGGGAAAATTGCTTCCCCTCTCTGAGTCTGAGATTTTTGTCCATAAAATGAGGATTGAACCAGACCTAGGGTTCCCAACCCTGAGCTCATGGGATTAAGGCAAAGGGTTCATAACAATCAAGCATTGTCCATGGACCAAATAGTTCATGTCCTCATCAGTCCCATCAGTAGATTACTGATCAATCACTATATGGTTTGCATGTTCACAGCAGTGAGTAATATTGTCAGTACTACTACCCCCATGTCACAGATAAGGAAAGTGAGCATCAGAGAGGGTGCATGGCGTGCTCGATGTCTCATAACTAGTAAGTTACCCGGTCAATTTAGTGGTAATGCAGGGGTTCTCCTGGCCCTAGAACCTAAGCTCTTAGCCATGAAGTGATGGTGCCTCACGGCATCCAAAGTGGCTTGTCCTATTGCTCCTCAAAGGAATATAGATGTGTGATCCATAGGAGGCGTGTGTGTTTGGAAGTGTGGCAAACTTTACAGCCCCACCAATCCCTCTGCTGCTGAGTTAATTCAACTCATAGTCACCCTGTAGGACAGAGTAGAACTGCCCTGTCGTCTTTCCATAGCTGTAAGTCTTTACAGACACAGACTGCCACATCTTTCTACTAGGAATGCCATTAGGTACCACCGACTCGGGTACAATTCGTAATGAGCTGTGTCAGGCTGGGTTGTCTAGAGAAACAAAATCAACGTTGTGTATGTGTATAGAAGAACTGTATATGAAGAAGTAATTCCGTGTCAAGAAGGCATCCCAGGCCAGTCTAACTCAAGTCCAAAGGCCCCATGCTAGCCAGGGCCCTCTTTAGACTCACATGGCCACAGGCCATGGACGCCAAAAGCTGAAATGGGAAGCAAGGAAATCCCAGGCCAGTGAGCGCAGAGTTACGTGGATCCCGAGTCAGTGGAAACGTGGCAGGGTGCAGACAGCTCAGAGACAGGCTCCCAGGGTCAGGGACCGCCCCTGGAGGCAGACACTGAGTCTCAGCAGGCAGGAAGGCCAAGCGGGTAGAGGAGGCGTCATCTCGGGTCAATGTTGCTCTTCTACAAAAGGCACACTCCCAAGGAGGGGTCATCAGGCAACCCCCTGATGGGCAGGTTGGATTCCACCCCTGACCCCACTCACATCCCATCAGGTTGGCATAATCCCTCACCCTATGTACATCAGATGAGACATTGCCCGGTCCTGTGCCACCCTCCCAGTCCCTGCGATTGGGTCCCAGCCCAGGGTTGCAGCCACTGGGTCCGTACATCTCGGGCAAGGTCTTCCTCTCCTGTGGCTGACCCTCTGCTTCACCCGCGTGATACCTTTTTCCAGGAACTGGTCTCTCCTAGCAGGATGTCCAAAGTACGTGGGATGAATTCTCACCATCCTCGCCGTACTTCCACCCGCCCCCGAGAGCGCGGTCTTCCTTCCAGCAGCCAGGGGTACTTTCAGTCTTCATTGCCAACAACACGCACATTCAAGTGCATCCTTCTTCTCCCCGCTTCCTCACTCATCCAGCATCCACTTACCCAGGAGGCGATGGAAAACACCCCGCCTTCTATAATCCCATGTGAGCTGGAGCAGTCCCTATGCCTCCGTGGCCCTGCACACAGTTCTGAGACACGTTTGAGTCGGAAACACGGGACCAGTCTAGTTCTCCCTGCTCTGCCTCTGTGACTGAGCAACCGGGGCTTCACCTCAAGCCTGGGCCCTGCTTCCAGGACCTCCTGCCCGCCCCCCCACCCTCCCTCGGCCCAGCTCTGCTGGCCTTCTGCACCTCACGTGTCTCTCTGTTCCCCTCCAGGAAGCCGACCTGCCTCCGCCACTCCCCAACAAGCCCCCACCAGAGGAGGGCTACTATGAGGAGGCCCTTCCCTTGGGACCCGGCAAGTGCCCTGAATACATCAGTTCCCACAGTAAGTTTGGGGACTCTCTGGGGAGGAAGGGGAAGGGGACACAGCCACGGCGCCTCTCCTGCAAAGCCAACTCGGAGCCCCTCTGGGTTCTGCTGGGGCGCGCAGGCTGGTGCCTACTCAGCCATATCACCTCGTCCTGGGGGGAATCACTCTGAGCGCCTGGCCTGGGAGAGGGGAACCGGGCAAACGGCGATGTGTCCTTGGGAATCGGGGCCTGAGGTCCCAGTATCAATTCTCTGTGACCTTGCACAAGAGGGGCATTCGCTCTTAAAGAAAGAGGCGGGGGAGGCGGGGGCGGACTGGCCAGATTCAGAAAAAGGTACAGATGTATAGCTGACACAGGGGCACTGCGACACCATTGCAGCCTGGACGCTGTGCGCCCCTGAATTCCACTCGCCTGAGGCCCCTGAACACCTCACGGGAAGACTAGACTGTCAGATCCCAAGGCCCCTGATCGAAACCGGGCAGCTTCAAAGTAGAGGGCAGCCCCCAGGCGACATCGGACGATCCAGGTGGACATCGTGGAAGCTTCCTCTGTTGTTCATTCCACACACCTTTTTGAGACGTCTCTGTTGCCGGTGTTTCATAGGCCTTGTCACCAAACAATCGCATAGTTCTCGCATGCGCTTTCTCTGTGCCGGCGGTGGCACGTTTGTTTTCCGGTCATCTGTAAGTGGATCCTTCTTTTATTGTCTGAGCTATGTGGTTTTTCTCAGGGTCATGGGTTGGGGCTCTCGGGGGCTTGACAGGGACTGGGGTCGAGGCCCTGGCTGGCATGCTTTGGGACCTTGTCCCAGGGGAAGGTCGGCTGCCCCACCCCCCCGCCCCCGAATCTGCTCATGGTAGACACGGTCAAAGGCTTCGCTCTCTGTGGGTGGATTCTTAAGGTGGTTTCCACCTTGCAGATCTTGTGGCAAATTATTTTCATGACCAATAAAATCAAAGTTTGAAGGAAGTCCGTCGTAGCCCCCGCGGGAGCTAGGTGACCTTGGTCCCCCTGGAGCCCTGGTAGTTGTAGGTGCTGTGCCCTTGCAAAGAACTGCTGCCGGTGAGACGGGCGGTTTTATTTGACTCATGAAAGGACGGGTGCAAGTGCAGGGGTCCCGGGACCCCCTGGTCAAGCCCTTCGGCTGGGTGAGGCTCCTGTACTGCCACCACGCTTGTTCCTCCCTCAGGACAGCCGGAGGAAAGGGAGGGCCTGGGGAAGGGCCTTGTCCAGGGAGCTTGCCAAGCCGGTCAGGCAGTATCCTCCCTCTCGCACCGAGTCCAGCCCTGCCAAGGGTCCCTGTGCTTTGCTCCCCAGATCTCCTCTCTCTGCTTCATCCCTCCTCCTCCTCCTCGTGCCCGAACAAGCCCAGTCCAACCCCACCCCCACCTCCCACAGGGGACACCCCCAGCATCTGGGTTTTCCGCTTGCCTCCTGGGAAAGGTGGGCTCTGAGTCTCGGTTTGGGGGGGTTGAGCTGTGTGCATCCTGATAGCTGGGAATCCCGCTGCTGCCATCCTCAGGAAACAGATGGACCGGAGGGGCGGGGAGCCTGAAGTGGCATTGTGACGCTGGCATGCTCCGTTCTGACGCAGGCGCCGTCACTAGCGCGCTGTGTGTGACCTTGGTTGCCCTGCCTGTGTCATGGGCTGGCCCCCACCTCCCTGCCTTGTGGGAATCGAAGAAGATAATACTAACGCTAGCTGGCATTTGTCCAGCACATTCTGTGTGCCGGGCACTTGCTGAGTGTCTGTGCCTTTGAGCACTGCCTGCAACAGGGGCGGCTCAGGCACTGCCAGGTGAAGACTCTGAGGGGAACCTTACTTGTTCCAAAGGAAAAGCTGTTGCAATTCTTGGGAAGTCAATCTATTTTCTGCTTTTATATGTGCTCGGGAATGTTCTACTGAGAAGGCTTATTAACAGCCTGAAGCATGTAGATAACAAAACGTGGGTCCTTAAACTGAAGAGAACTTGAAGCATTTGGTAATGAAAATCAGACTACGGTCTTCAATATAAATGACACCTCAATTTAAAGAAAAGGGGAAACCCCTCACAATTGTACGAAATAAACGCCGTTATGATAAATGGATAAAATTTTTAAAAAGAAAGAAAGGTTCTACTGAACGTTATTAGGTGCCCTTGGCTCAGTTCTGTGACCTTGTGAATCAGAACAAAGCACTGTCCTGTCCCGTGTCACCCTCTCAATCACTGAGCCCTGGTTCATTAAGGTGCTTCCTCTCTTTCAACGACCCCTACTGTTCTACTGAGCACATTTGTAATGGAATCCATCCGCTCAGCCCAACCCAGTGACACACAGGTCTGCATGTTAAAATAACCCCTGGTTAATCCTGAAGCACAGGAACCCTGGTAGTGTAGTTGGTCACGAATGGGCTACTAACCGTTAAGGTCAGCAGTTCAAAGCTACCAGCCGCTCTGAAGAAGAAAGACGGGGCTTTCTACTCCCATAAAAAGTGACAGTTCAGAAAATCACAGGAGCAGTTGTGCTTTGTCCTAAGAAGGATCGCTGTGAGTCAGCGTGGATCGATGGCTTCGAATCCATTCTGACGCAGAAATCAAGTGTGAGCTGTCCATCCCGCCAACCCCTGTTCTCTGCCACATTCCAGCCACAAACAGAGCTGCGCTCTGAAAACTCAGCATCAGTGGTTGCTGGATTCCTTAACTGTGTACACCCTTCTCACCTCCTCCTGTCCTAGTCTTCCTGTGTGGTCTCAGGGGTTCAGAAGGAGGTCCTCTTGGACAGAAGGAGGGATGTGTGAGAAAGTGAGGGAATGCCTCCCTGGAAGATGAGGCAAAGGGAGAGCTGAGCCCCAACATCAGGCGAACAACACCTCTAAGCACAGGGAGCAAAGGCTGCCCGATGCTCTGGGGTCAGCGAGGAAGGGCTGCCCACTCTGCCTGGGAAGGCCAAGGAAAGCTCTTTGAGTTGGGTCCTGAGGGATAGTCAGGCCTCTCTGGTGGAGGATAAGCGGGGACAGGGATCAGCGTGAACACAGGCCTGGGAGCAGTTCCTGGTGACAGATGGCGTGTGGGGAGCTAGGAGAGATGAGGGGTCAAGAGGAGAACTGCACCTGGCCAGGACAGCAGGGGCCTCTCCCTCCGTTCCCTGAGGAGCCGTGGGTGCCCGGGGTCTTCCCCAGCCCTGGCCTTGGGGCCAGCCTGCATCCCTCCCAAGTGCGGACGCTTTCTGCCTACCCCACAGACAGCTGCAGCCCGCCACACTCGATAGTGGACGGCTACTACGAAGATGCAGAGAACAGCTACCCCTCCACCAGGATGAACGGGGAGCCGAAGACCTCCTGTGAGTACCGGCCATGCAAACAGGGCCAGCCTCGCCCTCGCCCTCCACAGTATGTGCCCACTCTCCCTCACCTAGACCATGGTCATCACAGAGGCCCCACAGCCTGCCCTGGGCCACCCCAGGGTCCAGTGGAGAAAACAGTGGATGGGGCGTCAGGACCCAGTACCCAACCCTTGCCCTGCCCCTAGTAACCGATCCTAGGGGAATCATTTGTTCTCTTGGAGCCTCAAGTCGCCGTATCTATAAAGCGGGGGTCTTCCGGGTTGCTACGAGGGTCATCTGAGTCAATGAAGGGCGACCGCTATAAGGAGAGTAGCTGATATTTATGGGGCACTCGCTGGGTGTCAGACACCTGGCTAAGCACTCTTCTGACAGCCTGGTGGAGAAGGCACCCTTAGTCCTTAGGACCATTTTACCGATGAGGACGCTGACACTTGGAGAAGTGCTCTCAAAGCACGTGGGAAAGCTACAAAACAGAGGTTGGGTCACGACCATGGCTCCCCAGCCTGCGTCCACCCCTGTGTGGTCCCCACGCCTCCTCGGAGAAGGGAAGGCCGCGGAGGGCTGTGCTTCCCCGGGGAGTGCCACGTCCTGTCCCGCTCTCCCCCAGACAATGATTCTGACGCCATGAGCAGCTCCTATGAGTCCTACGACGACGAGGAGGAGGAGGCAGGGAAGGGGCAGCGGCCCCGGCACCAGTGGCCCTCGGAGGAGGCCTCCATGCACCCAGTGAGGGACTGCAGGATCTGCGCCTTCCTGCTGCGGAAGAAGCGCTTCGGGCAGTGGGCCAAGCAGCTGACTGTCATCAGGGAGGACCAGCTGCTGGTGAGTGGGGGGCGGGATGGGTGCCTGCAGGCTCCCCCGGACTTGTCCACGGGCTTGTCTCTGCTCACGTGTGTGCGTGGGGTCAGCCCCAGCGTGCCCGGGCCGCCTTCCTCTCCGAGGGGCAAAGCCCAGGCCTTCTGAGAGCTGTGCTCGCCGGCTGGAGCCAAACGGCAGGAGCCTCTTGAAGACCTGCCTCTTGAAGACCTGTCCTCGTCGTGGGCTTTGCTAGGGAATGTTTTGCAGAGTTTTCCAGAGGGGGGGGGGGGCAAACACTAGTGTGAGACAAGTTGGATTGTTTTTCCTTGTGTCTGCTAATCTGTTTACATTTAAAACCGGTGAAAAACCATCCAAGCCTCTCGTAATCCCATCAGCCAAGAGAGCACAGATGCGGGCGTCCAGTGTCTGTCTTTTAGAAGATGGGGCCCGGCCATGTCGTACCGCTTTTTTTTTTTTAAAGGAAGGTTCTTGCCCACTCGACCATCTGATCACTCCAAAGCAAAAACCCACTGCCATCTAGTTGATTCCGACTCCCAGCCACCCTGCCGGGCAGCGCAGAACCACCCCTGTGGGTTTCTGAGATCGTAACTCTTTGCGGGGTGGGAAGCCCCATCTTTCTCCTGATCTCTGGTCACCAGTATTTGCTAAAAGAAAATGCACCTTGAATTCCAAAGCAGGAGACTGGAGATCGTGTCAGGGACCCATGCATAACAGTGCTTCCCTGAAAGAACTGCTGCCGAGCCTGGCCCAGCAGGCCTGCGTAGGAAACAGGTCCAGAGCCGGCACCAGCCCAGGGGTCCAGGGTCCCCCCAGCCCAGGTGTCTGCATTGTTTCCATGTAGGTCTCCCTTTATTTTCTTTTTCCCACTCCATAGATATATAATGTGTTCTTTATTTGCAACGGACTGCTTTTCGGAATGATGCCTAGGTGGTGAGCATTGCCGGCATCTGGGGAGCAGGGGTCTGGGGTGCCCTGTGTGAGGAGGAGCCCCCACTCTGCACCACCCAGGTGGGAAGGAGCCTGGGCCATGGCCGGGGCCGCTGTTCTCCTGCCCACACCCCCCCACAGCTTGTCTCCCTGGACGCCACTGCTGGGCACGGACCGGTCCTCTTCCCTGCCCTTATTCCGAAGCAGCCCCTGTCCAGGAATCAGTGAGAAGAATGTGCTGTCCCAGCTCTCGTGGTGGATTTCTGCCGGTGGCCGCGCAGCCGCCAAAATTGGTGCCAGAAAATACCTCAACCCGTAAAAGCTCCATGCGTTCCTGGTGCACACCATAGCTCCCTTATCTCGCCTAGCCTGCAGCTGTGGGGACCCATCTGAGGGCCTAGATTTGGGGGAGAACAGCCATAGGTGAAAGTCCTCCCCTCACTCCCAAAGCCCCTCCCCTCGTCCACTGCAGACCCGCTGTTCACTGGGCATTGGTGCCTGTGGAGCTGGGCGTGGGCAGTATCCACGGATTGAGCTTTACAGCAGCAGCACCACGGAGTCAGGAGAGTCAAGGTCCCAGATGGCTTGGCCAAAGTCAAACGTCTAGAAACAGGAAGACTGGGGCTTCTGCACCCTTTCTGCCCTTCCTTCCGCTCCTGCCAAGCTCTGAGGCAGCCTCCTCTTTTCCCACCTCCCCACTGTGTCCTGCACGTGGCTTCCCAGCCTTCACACCAGGAAGGAGACAGACACCACTCCTCTGAGCTCTGAGCTCCCAGAATGCTCCATGCATCTTCCTATCAGGTCTCTCTCTATACCTTTGCTTGTTTTGTTTTGTTTTTATTTGCCCCACCCACCCACCCCTGCTAGCCATCCAAGAAGGTCCCCTGCTGCATGAACACATGTTCTTGACATTCAAGAGTGGTGGTCTCATCCAACGTGGACCCTTTTGTGGTGGACTGATTTCACTCAGCATCGTGCCCTCCGGGTTCTGAGTGGTTTCGCAGATTTGTGGTTCTTCTATAGCATTTCATAATATTCCCTCAGTTTGTCCACTCGTCCGGGATGGCCATCTCGGTTGTTTCCATACTTCTACTCTTGTGACCAGTGCTGCAGGGAACCTGGGTGTGCACATTCCTGTGGTGAGTCTTAGTTCTCTGGGAGATGTACCTAGTAGTTGGTATTTCCAGCCTTTTAAGGAAGCGTCATAACTTCCCACAGTGGTTGCACCATTTGACAGTCCCACCAGGAATGTGTGAACATTCCAGTCTCTCTGCACCCTCATGAGCATTCGTTGTTTTCCGGGTTTGGGTTCTTTTATTTCTCTTTTTGAGCTGTGTTATTAATGCTGGGAGGAGATGGTATCTCATTGTTGTTTTTTATTTGCATCTCTCTAATAGCTAACGATTGAAAGCGTTTCTTCATATATTGGTGGCTTGAATGTCTCTATTTTGACTTTTTGTCGTGAGTTAGGTGAAGGCTGACAGAGTGGAGCATCAGTTTCACGTTCAACAATTGATACACATCTTGTTTCAACTCGTCCACTGCTATCACTACCCCATTTCTTCCCCGGCTTTGCTGTCTTCATTCCTCCTTCTCCCCTACCCCTCTGTCCTTGGGTAAATGTTTCCTTTTTTATCTTAAGTGGCTGACTATTCTAACACTGGGTGAGTTCACTTCCAGGCATGAAGGGTGCCTAAGGACCATAGACTGGGGGTGGAGTGGGGGTGGGGACTCACCAGCCTCAACTCGACCAATAAGCTGAGTCTCTTATGATTTTAAGTTCTGTTCCAAGATCTCTTCCCACTACCCAAGGCCCGCTGATGTGATTCTTTCCAGAGCAGTTGGTAGGGGTAGTGGTAGGCGGGCACCATCTGGGTCTTCTGGTCTTGGGGTTGTAGAGGCTGATGTTTGCCTGCGTGGTTCATGAGTCCTTTGGTCTTTCCTCCCGTGAATGTCTCCTTTGGTGAGGTATCTGTTCGTGCCCTCTGCTCATTTTAAGATTAAATTAGGTCGCTGTCTTTTTGTTGTTGAGATTGAAGTTTGCCGTAAAGTTTAGATCGTAGTCCCTTGTCGGATATGACCTTGTCAAATGCCCCCTTTCCCCCCACCCCCACCCCAGCCATTGTGGGTTGTCTTTTTGCTCTTTTGCTGAAATGTTTCAATATGCATAAGTTTTAGGAGATCCTATCAATTACGTTTGATAGTGTATTCATACCATATATTAAGACCCTAAGTTTGTCCCTAGTTTCTTATTGGTGGTCTGTATAGTTTGAGGTTTCACAGCTGATCCATGCTGAGTTCCCTTTTGCATACAGTGTGAGATATGGGCTTTGTGTTATTTCTCTACCAATGAATATCCGGTTTTGCCAGCACCATTTGTTAAGGAGACTCTCTCTTTCCCATGTATGAGTTTCCGCCCTTTGTCAAGTATCAGTGTCCATACCCAAACCCACCCAATGCCATTGAGTTCATTCCAATTTATGGCAGCCCCATGTGGGGTTTCCAGAACTCTAACTCTCTGTGGGAGCAGATAGCCTCATCTTCCTCTTACAAAGCGGCTGATGGGTTTGAACCTAGGCTCTGGTTCTGTAGGTAGCAGCCCCGTGCCCCCCCAACAGTTCCATCAGGGCTGCACTCGGCTCTCCATAGGTGGATGCTCTCACTTGTGGGTTCTAGTTCTGTTCCATTGGTCTGTGTGTCTGTTCTACGTGGGCCAGGCTGTGAGGACGACCACGGCTGTATCAGAAATGTGACCCCTCCTCGTCCAGGATGTCCTTCCCCGGCACAGAGGGATCAGTGTGTGCATCTCTTTAAAAGGAGATACTGGCATCTCAATTGCCATTTCATTATACCTGGAGATTCATTTGGGAAGCATTAACATTTTCACAATATTAAAATCTTCCTGTCCATGAGCAGAGTGCATGCTTCCATTTATGCCATTTTCTTTGGATTTCTTTTTTTTTTAATTTAATCATTTTATTTGGGGCTTGTACAACTCTTATCACAATCCATCCATCCATCCATTGTGTCAAGCACATTTGTACATTCGTTGCCATCATCATTCTCAAAACATGTGCTTTCTACTGGAGCCCTTGGGATCAGCTCCTCAGTGTTTCCTCTCCCTCCCCGCTCCTCTCTCCCTCTAGATTTCTTATCATCGTGTTTTGTAGTTTATTTGGATAGGTCTTTTGTGTCCCTGGTTAGAGCTCTTCCTAAGTATTTCTCTCCCCTTCTCCGATGGTTCTATTGGCATATAATTCACATAGCGTACAATTTAACGGTTCAGTCACATGGAGAAGAACAGTGCAATCATCACCACAAACAGCTCTAGAACATTGTCTTCACTGTTGTGCTCAGCACTATTATCTTATTCCTAAGTATTTCATCTTTTGGGTTGCTATCATGAGTTGTATTTTTCCTGGTTTCCTTTTCGGAGTTCTCGTTGCTAGTGTAAAAGAGTGCAACTGATTCTCGTATGTCGATCTTATACTCTAACCTGTTACTAAATCTTTTAACAGTTCTTGTAATTTTCTTGCTGAATCTTTGGGATTTTCTATGTATAAGATCTGCAAATAGAAAGAGTGAGGGTATGTCTCTCCTTCGCCTGTCCTGCCTTCCCCTCCAGGAGGCCTGACCCCTTCTGTCCCTTTCCAGTGCTATAAAAGCTCCAAGGACACACAGCCACATCTGAGACTGGCTCTGGACACCTGCAGCGTCTCCTACGTGCCCAAGGACAGCCGGCACAAGAGGCATGAGCTGCGCTTCTCCCAGACGGGTGCTGAGATCCTGGTGCTGGCCCTGCAGAGCCGGGAGCAGGCTGAGGAGTGGCTGAAGGTAAGGGGAGCTGCTTCCCTCTCCCACCCTCTGCCCACCAGAGCTTTCTCTCCTCCCCAGGCCTAGCCTACAGTGTCCCCAGAAGAACCAGGTCTTACTCCATGGCACAGGGGATCAGTGGCCTGAGCCCAAGGCCTGCCCATTCTCTAGGGCTTCTGTGTGGAAACAGGTCCTGGGCGACTCCCAGATCACTCCTCATCCCGGAGGCCTGTGTTCCTTCCAGTTACTAGAATCGCCTTTCTAACACCCCTCCTATGGGCTTTACCACTTACTACCCACCTATCAGGAGAGACAGGCCCTGGAGCAGGCTGCCATGCCTGGCAGCGTATTGGGGAAGTGAAGGGGAGTAAGACCTCCGACAAGATGGACTGACAGTGGCTGCAACGAAGGGTGGCACAGGGCCAGGCGGTGGTCATTCTGTTGAGCATAGACAGGGCCGCTGTGGGTTGGAGCCAACTCAATGTCACCTCAAGACAAGAACCTACTGAGAAAGCGAACTCAGTCGTGAGACAGGAGGAGCTGATAGTAAGGGCTCAATCGGAAGTAGATGTTTACAAAAGAATGATGCCAACCTATGTACAAATGTGCTTGACACAGTGGGTGGATGGATTGTTATAAGAGCTGTAAGAGCCCCCAATAAAATGCTCTTTAATTTTAAAAAAATCGTCAGGTAGGTTAATCCTTAAAAAGAACAGGCAAAAATGTGCCCCTTCTGACTTCCGCCTGTGGCCCAGGGTCTGCGTCTGTGAGCTCGGCAGCACGACCGGATCACCCGGTGTGGAGCCCTCACTGCGCGCTGTCGCACACGGACATTAGGGTTTGACATGCGCTTGTTGCCGCGGGACTGTCACGCTTCCCGTTCTACAGATGAGGAGGCTGGGCATAGAGAAC